TAATGCCACAAAACTATTAGAAAAAGTAAATATCTTAGAAAGAGATATTTTAGCATCTCAAACTAATTTGATACCTGTTGTTCATTGCCTCAGAAAGTTTTCGAAAGTTAATGAGTGCACATTTGGACAAGAATTAGGCAGTAATGTTTCTTCAGTTATTGAAGAGTTCAAAGTATCATTTTTTGACCTTCAGCAGTATGCAAAAATACATTTAAATGCAGAGCTTAATGTTACTTGGAAAGTATATATAGTGGTTTGTCATATTCTCCCATTTGTGAAATTTAACTCTTGTTCTCTTGGGTCATACGCTTGGGTCATATGCACAGACTGGAGAGGCTGTTCACAGTGCCATTAAACCAAGTTAGTCTCGATATAAACGAAGGATTGGGCATATAGATTATGGTAAACAATTAAAATCTGCCACTGCCACTTTTTGCATAGATAAGATGTAAATATTTCAATATATAAGCAGTTGTGTTAATACTTTTATTGCATTCATTGTTTTTTCCTTGTTATTTTTCCTTTGTATTATTACTATAAGGGACTCTAATGATTTAAGTTTGAAGTTATAGATTATATCATAATACTTTAAAGAAGATAATAAAGAATATTGATTTTTAAAATTATAATAGAAGGGGTTACTTTTATAGGGGGTAAGTTTATTGCTTTAAGGGGGTAAATAGGGTTAAAAAATTAATTTTTTGGTACTTCTGATATACTTTAGATTTACCAATACACAAAAATAACACATTTTAGCATTTATCTTAATATAAAAAAAAATTAGAGGTGGGGAGAAGTTCAACCTGGCGGTCTTTATGGCACACAGTGCTGAATTCATGGATAATAAGAGATAAAAGTGATTATAATTTGTCAAAATGTTTAAGAAAAGAAGCAATACCTAAATGAAAAAGAGAAAAATTATTTTTGTCAATGTTGGCAAAGTTAAAACATTTTATGTCCGTATATTTGGAATTAATAGGGTTTTCTTCGAGGTTTACGTCATTGTTATTGTTGTTATTAAGTTGATGGGAAATAAAATCAATAAGTTCATTATAAAGATTAGACTCTATGGTGTTTGGAAAAGATGATATGTTGTTTGAGAGTTCATTAATATGAATCACTTTATCATTTATTGTTTGCAGATACAGATCATTATCAGATAAAGAAATAAATGGAAATTTTCTACATGAAATACAGAACCAAGATGTTTTTCAATATACTAAATTCCATATCATTCAGACGACAGCTTTTTTTATAAAATAGGTTAAGATAATGATTACATTGAAGGTAGTGATGGTTTTTATTATTTTCTTGAAACAATCTTTGCAATGAGTAGACATTTAAGTAGTACAGTTTGAAATGATTGAAGTGAAATAAGGAAACAAACAGTAATATGAACTTCAATATAACCAAAAATAATAAAAATAATAATAGTATTTATAATAATATAAATATAATTCAATTAATAAAATAGTAAAATAAAAACAATATTTATTTAACAGTTAAAATAAAAAATGAAAAAATACAATTATTAAAGTAAGGGAAAAATAGCGTAATATATATTAAAAATAAGTTATAACTAGTTAAAGTATAAGTTATAAGTATAAAATAAAATAAATTATATTAAAATAATAAAAAATTATGAATGATTATAAGTAAAACATTCTAGTTATTGTAAGTGAAAAATATAATAATAAATTATTAAGTTTATACTTAGTATTACAAGTTAATAAGTAAAACTAAAGTTAACAAACTATATAGATATATAATAATAATAATAATAAAAATAATAAAAATAATTATAAGTATATATAACAACAAACAAAAAAAGAAAAAAGAAAAAATTAATGAAAATAAACAAAACAAAGCTAGAAAAAAATATATTTTATTATAACAAAATTCTTCTAAAAATTCACTACAACCTTCTGGCACATTTCTTCTTTCTTTTTTCTTAGTTTACTTAATTTTTTTTTCTTTTCTTTACTTTTTAATTTTTATTTTATTTGTTTACTTCACTTTTGTTCTTTTGTTAGTTTTTTCTTTATTTAAGTTTATTAAGTGTTCTTTTTTTTTTTATAATTTGAAGTTCTTTTTTCCTTTTTTTTTCTTTCCTTCCTTTTGGGGTGACTTTTTATGTGCGTTTGATTAAAGATGATTTTAAGATTGTTATTAAATTATTTAAGCATATAAAATAAATAATTATTTATTTGTTATTATAATTTGGTTTATTATTATAATTATAATTTTTATTATTATAATTATAATTTTTTTTCTCTTTTTAATTTTATTTTTTTGATTACAAAACACAACTGATTTTTTAAAACAACAGTTTCCTTTGACACGCTATTCTAAGAAGAAACAAGATCTTATGCAGATATCGTTTACAATATAATATAAATTGAAGGATAGAATTTTTCATTAAAAATTTCATTTTTGTTCAAAGAAACAAAACATTTTTCAACAAAAATGTTTTTCTCAACAACCTTGATACACAGACATATAATTTAATGGTAATGAGTTTTATTTAAGGTTCATTACCACTTACTTAAAACATGATTCCATCGATTGATGTTTGTTGTCCTCTTTTCCTAACAAACCACATAAATATGACCTTATCTTACCAAAATTACCAGTATGAAGTTTCTTTTATGTAAATTTTGCCCCATTTTTTTCCAGAAATGATATTAACTTGTTTTTATACTTAACCCAAGTAGATATTGCGTTTTTTGAGACACCATACTTTTGGGCTGCCTCTTAGATGGAGCTTCACGATTTTGCCAACTTCCCCAAGCCAACTTGGAATGGCTTTGTATAAAAGTATTTATAAAAATCACAAGCATGTGGGGTATCCATAAAGTATGTACACAATAAAACTACTGATTTAGGACCACACAAAAAAAAAGAAAGAAAATTTTTTGTTTTTAATGCTTTGAAAAAATAATCTTATTAAAGAAGTTAATTCAACATTAGTCTGTTGCATAACATAATAATCATTTTTTAAACTCGTGAAATTCATTACTTTTGTAAATAAAAAAGGTTTTAGGAGAGAGATCAAGAACAAGGGATAGTCAAACGGCATTCGTACTCACTGTCTTTAATATTCCCCCTCCACCTTGTACGCATTTGTATGTTTTTGGGTAACCCCCATACCTGCGCACATACTTTATGGAAGACCCTAAGCATGAACATAAAAAAAATTAATAAAATACATAACCGAAAGTTTACTTAGATATAAATATTACTATCAGCTTAAAATGACATTAGCATCCATAACTGTAGCCAAGTATAACCTTTTAAATATTTTTTTTTTTTGAAACAACTTCACTTTTAACAAGGCTGCAAACAACCACTATTAGACTTGGAAGTTACTGGAAGAGAAAAGATGAAGTTTATAAAGATAAAAGGATTAATTACAAAGAACAATGTTCAAGGAAAAAAACTAGACAAACAAGAATTTTTGGAGCACTTAAAAACAGTCACAGTAAAATGATGAGACTTAATTAAATAATAAAAGAAAGAGTTTCCAAGAAAGATCAGAAAAGTTAATTCTAGAAGACGAAGGGTAGATGACTCATCAAGTACATTAATTTAGGAAGATCTAACCCAGTAAAATTTTAAAACTCAGTTTTTCAAACCTAATATTCTAAAGGTATAAGAAAACTATTAATAATTGGATTCAACAAGTTTACAAAGATAATCTTAATAAAAGATCCAAAAATTTAAAACAACTTGTGAAACTTATGCATAAAAAGCTGAACAAGAATAGACCTTTTAAAGACAAACTTGGAATTAGGAAAAATAAGGTCAGCAATAATCTGCAGACCTCAATCTTTTAGAGATCAGCAAAAGTTATTTGATACAAAGGTCTTACCATAAAACATAGAAATGAGGTCAGCAATTTTTTGCCAACCTCAAACATTTCAGGTCGGCAGTTAGGTTGGCATATATATATATATATATATATATATATATATATATATATATATATATATATATATATATATATATATATATATATATAAATATATAAATATATAAATATATAAATATATATATATATATATATATATATATATATATATATATATATATATATATATATATATGTATATGTATATGTATATGTATATGTATATGTATATATATATATATATATATATATATATATATATATTTATGTATATATATACATATATATGTATATATATGTATTTGTATATATATGTATATGTATATATATATGTATATATATATATATATATATATATATATATATATATATACATGTATATGCATCTATGTCTATATATATGCATCTATATGTATATGTATGTCTATATATATGCATCTATATGTATATATATATACATATATATATATATATATATATATATATATATATATATATATATATATATATATTTATGTATATATATACATATATATGTATATATATGTATATGTATATATATGTATATGTATATATATATGTATATATATATATATATATATATATATATATGTATATATATGTATATATATGTATATATATATATATATATATATATATATGTATATATATATATATATATGTATATATGTGTATATATATATGTATATATATATATATATATGTATATATATATATATATATATATATATATATATATAATATATGTGTGTATATGTATATGTATATGTATATATATATGCATATGTATATATATATGTATATATATATATATATATATATGTATATATATATATATATATATATATATATATATATATATATATATATATATATATATATATATATATATTTATATATATATATAAATAATACATTTCTCATTGAATAAAAAGTTGTATTGCAGTTATATTAAAAATAGGATAACTAAACAATAAATGCAATAGCTGCATTATCACATCATGTTAATTTTAACCTGAAAAGAATTTACAAAAACTAACAACAACAAAAATATAACAATGACTTTTACCTGATGTGCATGATTTTTCCTCCTCATGTATTGTATGTGCTCAGTTGCTTTGTGCAGTATTTGAGCTCGAGAGGACTTCAATACATTAAAACAAAAATAAAGTATTTTATGATATGATCTGATTCAAAAAATGTTCTTGTGCAAAATTATTAAATAAATCAAAATTTAGAAAATATAATAAAAAATAAAAGAAAAAATCCTTCAAGAACACCATATATGACTAGAATGTTTTCAGGTTACAAAATCTTATTAGATAATAATATTATAAGATGATATTGCATTTTAATCACAAATGAGCTTTTGTTTTTGTCCAAAAACATTGCCATATCCTCAACGTAGCTAGTTGTTATTCATTTTTTACTTCTTACCAAAAACTTTTCAACTTTTCTTGAATATTTATTAAGAAATTTAGTTTTTGACTTTGAATTGTTGGAGTAAAAAGTATAAACTTTATGTTTTCTCTACTTCAGTATCCAACATGTGATAAGAATTTTAGCTGAAAATCTTTTAACATAAAATTCATATAAGGAAATGGTATTAAGATTGTCTTCTTTATAATACAGTTGGATACCTAGACCTCATCACTTTATATTACTGATTAACTTAACACTGCTGCTGCCCATTTCTGCGCGTTTACACAGACTTTTTTACCATACTTGGCTGAGTCTTTACCATACTTGGCCTTTCAGTTTTATTATAGATAAGATATAGCATGCTCTTTCTCTTTATACTTTTGAACTCATGCGATGAGGTACTCTAAAATTTTAATAATCTGTTAATATCTGCTTAATCAGTAATAAGATCGAAAACCTTTCTTCATCAGCTTAATTAGTAATAAGGTCAACAATTTTTATTTAATAACTTCTGTAGTAAAGAATGAACCTTATGTTACTTTATAAATTATTAATTAAAGTAACTTTTAAAGCCAGGTAATTTATTTATTTAAGCATTACTATAATAACATAATTCAAGTCCTTTGTCAATAGTATTTAACATGTATTATGCTATAATATCTGAATTAGAAGACGATGATGATTCTAGAAGACGTTTCTCTTTTCAAAAGTTAAGAACTCTTGATAAAGTTAGTGTAACTTTATCAAGAGTTTGATAAAAAACTTTATCAAACTCTTGATAAAGTTAGTGTTTATATCCAAAATGAAAGAGATGAGATTAGTCTAGCTTAGGTAAATTGTTTTTAAAATGAAAGAGATGAGCTCAGGTGAGCTGAAATAAACTGCTGTAGAAATAAAAGAAATCAGGATAGATGTTATAATTCTTTTTTATCTTTTGCTTCCTTTACAGCCCAAATACGTCATCCTCAAATAATTGCCCTTTCTGTTTTAGGGTAAATTTTGCATGGTGTTGGAAACTTTAAGGCCTAAAGAATGTTTTCTACACACATATTGTAAGTTAAATATATATGATCCTAATGTAGCAGTATCATTCAGAATGAAGCAACCTGGTAATGATGGTTGTATAAATGAGTTAATGCAACTCTTAAAAACTTAAAATAATCAAGAAAACCCATTTGCTTCCGCATCTAAAAATATGGCAGAAGTAAAGGAGAAAAATAATGATGGCACAATTAACTGAAGCACCGTGTTACTTTGTCCCAGCATTAGTTATAGGTTTGCTGTAAGACAAACTTGTAATCCTAAATACAAAATAATTAGTCCTATATAATTAATGTTTAATTTAATGCTTCTTACTCATTCGTGCATGTTACACTTGACCATATAATATATTAATTTATATTTTTGACCACATGACCCTTCTCAAATCTTTATTCTCAAATCTTTATTATCTCTATTATAATCTGTAATATCTGTTGAATCAGTTATAAGATCTTAAATTTTATATTAGATAGTTTCATGCAATCATAAATTCTGTCATAAATGTGATACCTGTAATATATAAAGTGCTTCAATGTGTGTTATGTATAAGTGGTTATGTTGTTTCCATGGCTTTAAAGTGTTGTGACTTGGCTTGTGAGGTGAGTATTATTATTGTATTTTTATATATATAGCTCTAGCAGCTTCTTCTGGCTCATCAAGTGTTATTGTAGTCATACTCGACTTAATACATTAATTGATTTTATTGTATAATACTATTTTATAGGGTCTATTTTATTAGGTAAAAATCTATATTAAAAGGTATCTAAAATCTAAGGTATCTAAAATCTATTTTATAAGGTATCTAAAATCTAAAAATCTATTTTATAAGGTAAAAAAATCTAATTTGACTTATATACAAAATTAACTAAATTAGTTGCCTACAAACGTTATTGAATAAATATTTTCAAAGAATTATGAAAAAATACATAAAAATCTTTAGTTTCAAAAAATGCTTTACAAAGAACTCCCTCTAATAATTATTTTTTAATTGCGTTTTCCTTGAAATATGTAATAAACAACTTAATGTTGTACAAATATTTCTTTTAATTTAATCAATCAATGTAATAAGTCAGGGCTCAATTTAATGATTGGACATTGTCCGGCTAAAACCTCAAATGTCTGATCAATTTACAAAGTAATTGGACATTTTGACCAAAGAGAATTCAATTCTACAAAATAAATACTTTAGTATATATATAAAAATTAAAAGTAAAAGTAAAGTAAAATAAAAAAAATGAAAAGCTTTAAAATAAAATTAAAAAAATCAAAGTTAAAATAACTTTTTGTTACATTTTTAATTTAGTTTGAAATAAATTACTTTGAAACTTATATTTTGAAATGTTTTATTGTTACATAAAACCCTTTTATAAATTACTTTTATTGATTGTTTAATAAATAAACAAATTTGGTTTAAATTATTGAAAAGCTAAATTAAATTATTGAAAAGAAAAAATATAATATTTTTTAATTGTTTAGATATTTTCTTCAAAAAAAAAAAACTGCTGCAAAAAAACTGCTGCAAAAAAAAAAAATGTTTAAAAAAACGTTTTTTATTTCATGCTTTGATTTAAGTCAAGTTAAAAAAAAAACAACTTTTAAACAATTCTTTGTAAAAATAATAATAATAAAAAAAAGCAATTAAATCTTGGAAAGATATAATTTAACTTAATCATAATTTAAAGTAACTTGAAAATGATAATCTTTTAATAAAAGATTTTTAGAAAGACTTTTTATTATAAATTTAAATGTTTGAAATTATTTTAAAAATAATCTCAAATGTTTAAATTTATCATAAAAAATACATACTAAAAAAATTGAATGTAACATTTCACTTATACAATGCTTTATTTTAAATTATAATTTTTGATTTTATTTAAAGTTTTTAAAAGTTTTGATTTTAATTAAAGTTTTTTAAAGTTTTTATTTTATGCCTTCGCATAAATAAAAACTTTAAAAAATATCAACAATTAAAAGTTATCTGTAACGTAACGATTTTTTTTATGGCATTTAAATAGTTAAAACATCAAAAAAGCCAAATTTGTCAAATTGTAAAAAATTAAGAAACAAAAAAAGAGCTGTCAGTTACAGCTGAATTCAGATCTATATGTTTTTGCACAGAATCTTTAAAAAGAAGAATTTTCAGGTAATAAATATTTTTAGCCATGAATCTAGCATGGTGCATAGCACCAGGTTTCTTAAATTTGCAAATTAAGCTTGGGTACATAAGAAGCAACTCTACTAGCTTACATAAGACGCAACTCTACTAGCTCATGGTAGCCATTTCTCTTGTTACCAATCTAAAATTTTATTATATTTTTATTGATTGTTCCCTAAATCTAGATTTTATAATGCAATGAAAAAAACGCTACTAAAAATTATTATTTAAAGTTTTAATAAATGTCTGCTTACAATATTTTTTTAACTAACCTCTGAGTTTTTATAAGCTTTGGTCTTTACTATCTCCATAAGTTGGTTCTTTGCTTCAATGATTTGAACTTCTATCCAAGTTCCACAAACAGATTTCCATTCAAACCTATTCAGCTGGCAACTTTCAGTGTCAATGGAATCCTTTGTTTATGAAGTAATTTAAAAGGCTATTGGTTGCATTGCAACCAATAGCCTTTTCGAAATGATTGATGTGGACCTCTTCTACATGGTGACGCCAGGCCAACATTAAATCAAAGGGCTTGAAAAGTCTAATCTTAGTCTTACATAAGGGCTTGAAAAGGTCTCTCCTTCAAAAGGTCACTGATTACATTAAACTGGTTTAGGCTAGTGCCAGAGACAATGCCAAAGTACACAGATTCTGTCCTTCATTTTGTCACAGTGCTTAGGTATTAAATCCTTTTTTATTTTGTCATCAAAATGTAATTCAAGCTTACCATTCTTGTGGTTGATATGATACTGCAATAATTTTTTTTTAAATCTTCATAAAGTATCTTATTTTTCATTCTATATTCACTTGAATACAGGGCTCAATTTAATGGTCAGACATTGGATATTGTCGGACTAAAACCTTATATTGTCCAATCAATTTAAAAAGTAATCACACATTTTGACCGACGGGAATTGAGTTCTACAAAATAAATATTTTAATTACTGAAATAACTAAATAATAAACCAAAACGATCCTTTATGAAAAAGAAAATAAATTAGCTTTAAAATAAGACTCAATAAACTTGAAGCGAAAATTACTTTTTGTTACATTTTTAATTGCAAAAAAATTAATTCAAAACTTATCTTTTGAAACGTTTTAATAAAGTTTTGCAAAACGCTTTTACAAACTACTTCTATTGATTGTTTAACAAATGAACAAACTTTATTTAAATTATAGAAAAATGAAATTTAATTATTGAAAAGAAAAAAATATAATATTTCTAAGTTGTATAAACATTTTTTTAAAAAGTTGCACAAAAAAAAATAGTTTAAAAAAAATAACCCAGTCTATTTAAAATAGTAATTTTTAATCATTTCATGCTTTGATTAGTAAGATTGATAAGTAAAATCTAAATCTAAAAATCATCGCTAAAATCTAAAAATCTAAAATCTAAAAATTGAATTGGAACTTTTATATATATATAAAAATATCTGTGATGAAATATTCTAAATTATAAGTAACTTAGCTAGACTAACATTAAATAAACTGAATAATGACACAGATTTAGATCAGATTACTCTGTTCCATTATTTTTGTAGAAATTAAATTTCAAAAATTTGATTGGACACTGTCTGACCTGAACAGGTTTTGATCGGACATTTTGTCAGGGACTTTATAAAAAATTAAATTAAACCCTGTGAATATGAAAGAGGCAGCTTATCTGGATTATCCCCCCCCCCTCCCTCCTCTTCAATAACTAACTTTCTTAGAGTAACAGTAATTTTATTGGCAGATATGTTGGCTCCCAGAGCTGTTCTAATTGTGTTAAATTTGGTATCTTTGCTAATGTCAATATGTTGACATTATGTTGAATAATGTCATATATTGAGATTGAAAATTTGATTTGTTTGTTTTTTTTGACTAGGCTGATGTTCACTGCCACTTGAACTGTTTGTGTCAGATGAATTTGAATATTAAGTGCATTTTACTGAGCATCTACAATAGAAGGTATTCTATTAGTCACTCTTTCCAGATTTTTCTTTTCCTTTTGCTTTGAATAGTCAGCTCTGACAATCTGTTATTTGATCTCTGATGAAGGCAATGTCATTTGCTTGAATATAAACTTATCTATCTTGATAGCTTTAATAAGTATCTTGTGGTCAGTCCTTGCCCAAAATAGGCCTAGAAAAAGTAAAGCAAGTTATGTTAGTTGATATAATAAAATTACAATTTCTTTGTTGTTATGATCGGCATTTTTTTGGGCTTGCAAGATCTGGAACAACCACTACCCAGTGGTAGTGGTTGTTAGTGGCAGTGGTAGTTTGGTAGTGGCAGTTGGCTATAATTCTCTCTTTTTTGTTCTCATTTTTTAATTCTATTAATAATTTAAATGATTAACATTGAATATCTTACATAATTGTCATATGATTCAAAAAAACTTTTAAAAATACTATAACAACTATACAAAGAAAATTACAAAGTAGTTAACTCACAGAAAAAAAATTTGCTTTTTATTTTAAAATTCACTTACAACTCTCTACGAATCTTCTATTATTACTAAACAAATCTATTTTTAACTTTTTCACGACTTCATTATCATAATTTCAAGATTTCATTATTATAATTTCATTATTAACCAGCAAAAATATGATTGCATAATTAATGATGCACCCATATTTTTTCTTGTTTAACAACTTTCTGTTTTCTTGCTAATACCGCTAAATCCCTTCCAATCCTTATTGTTTATTTCTAATAATGAGAAAATATAAATAAATTGAAATAACCAAAAAGTGTCAAGAAAGCATGAAAATAAACCTACAATAATGACTTTTGGTATATGAGTTTTAAATAACATAAACATTCATTTGTTAAAATAGTTTCCAGTTTTTTTGCTTTTTTTCCCCCGATATATTATGCAATTTATAAAAAAAGTTTTTTTTTAAAATTTGATAAGGCCAATGCAAAGTAAAAAAATAATTAAAAAAACAACAAAAAACAGTTTTTAATTTCTTTGTTATGAGCCACAAAAAATTGCTTATTTGTTAGTAAAAAATTTTTCCATGACCTAATTTTTGAACACCCCAAATAAGTATATACAAAATTTGAAATTGTTATTAAAAGGGAATAAGATAAAATTTTATTAAATTTAAAAATAAGTTAAAATTTTGATTAACTTACATCATCTTTATTTTATTCTTTAATAATGATGATTGAAAATTATTAATATCTATTAAAATTATTAATAGATATTAATAATATTAATTTTAAGTTTTTTTAAATTATTAGTACTTCATCTATTAACAATATTTTAAATGACAATTGGAGTAAGTTCATTCAGTAAATTTAATTTATTGTAAATGAATTTACCTTCTCTCCTTCTAAAGAGGGAACTGAATCTCTAAGTCCAGTAAAACTATCTTTAATATGATCTCTTCGTTTACGTTCAAGAGCATTATGGTGAGCTCTTTTATCAGCCTTCAAAATAAAATAAAAAATACTTTATATTTTTTAAATAATAAACTGAAAACACATAAAGTTTTTTTAAACTGAAAACATAATAAAAACTGAAAACATAATAAAGTTTGAAAAACAATTTACTGTTGAGTTGAAAACATGCAGACTGTCATCTCCATAATCCTTAAGTAAAAAATAAACAGTATTTAGTATTCTATAATAGATTATAAAAAAAGTAATAATAAAAATGAAAAAAAAATATAAATAAAATAAAAAAAAAGGCTAATAAAAATAAAAATAAAAACAATTCATTTTAGCATGATAAATGCCAACCATTCTAAAGATATCTCAATTAAACTCTTCAACAGCTTGTGATCCAGACAACATTTTTGCGTATGTCTTACAAAATTTTATGTAAGACTTTTTTTACAAAACATCTCTGCCTTAGTCTTACAAAACAGTTCTCCAGAACTCTCTTCAATTCTTTCTCAACTATTTATCAAATATTTGGCTGAAGCTTGTTTTCCTTCCAGCTGGAAAATGACATTTGTTGTTCCAATTTTCAAAAATTCTGAGAATATTCTAACTTCTCAAATTATCATCAGATCAGCCTTCTTTCTGTTATTAGCAAGGTCTTTGAGTCTTTGATCAACAAACTTCTGACATCCTATCTTGAGTCAAATAAATAACTGTCAGACAATCAATACAGTTTTCAATCCTCTAGCTATACTTGCTAACTGTGGTGACAATTTTATCCTGCATTAGATGGAGCCGGTGAGGTTAGGGATATTGCTCTTGACATATCTAAAGCCTTTGACAAAATTTGGCAGACTGGTCTTCTTCACAAGCTTACTTCATATGGTGTAGCTGAGTAAGTTTTTGAGATTATCAAATCATTTTTTTCCAATCACTTTATTAAAATCACCCTTATATAAAATATGGTTTTATTAGTAAACAAAATTTTGTAAGTAATAAACTGATTGGTTGTCCGAAAATTACTACCAACAGACATTTTTTTAAACTTGAGTCACACTTTAAGAAAGTCGATCCGTGCCACTGGACAACCATGAGTTTCCACCCCTGATATATATATATATATATATATATATATATATATATATATATATATATATATATATATATATATATATATATATATATATATATATATATATATATATATATATAAGATAATTATATTTTTCGTATTTCAAATTTCATTAGGAATATTAATATAATATAAAAGAATATCAATAACAAGCAGAACCATAAAAATGCATAAATCTATATATTAGAGAGATTACTTTTTTTTTTTACAGAAACATAAATAAAATAAAGTAACAGTAAAAATCATCAACAATCAAAAACACCAACAAAAACTGATTAACGAGAAAAAAAAGTATTATCAATATATCTTAACAGGGTAAACATTTACAAATCCAAATATATTGAGAGACTTAAAGGCTATAGAGGAAAAAAACATCACAAGAAAATAGCATACTAAATTACATAACTAATTTTCACATAAATTATAATAGCTTTAGTATTTTCATTCTTTGCTATTGCTGGGATTAGGTCGATAGGTTGAAATATATGGTAAATAGTGCATAATTCTTTAGCAAAATATTAGAATATATTCTGCATTGCTTTTTTTTGTGTTTTTAACTTTATTTAACTGTTATGAACTGACACTGAGAAATACAAAATGTTCTGCATAAAAAGCCAGTAGCACCTTAAAAAAATAAAAAGCAAAATATTAAACATTGGACTAGAGTATCAAATCCACCTCTGTTTAGGCTATTCAGATAATTTCCATATTTATTATAATAATTGGTAGTGTCATCATCATATATATATATATATATATCATCATTGACATTAACAACATTCCAAATTTTTTAAATAAATTCAGCAGTAACTTAAAATGATTTATTTTCAATATCTGGATGCATTCATAAGGCAGCTACTGTTTCTTCGCAAAAAACAGACAAACAAAACTCTACAGATTGTCTCTATTGGCTTCAGATGAAATGATTTAGCTGTAAGTTAAGAATTTTTTTGTGAATTTATACACTGATATTTTCGTTGTAGTTAAATGATGCTCAACTTGCAAAGATGTACACAGCATTTTAAAGGCATCTTAACTAATAAAGTATCTTATTGTTAGTTTGACAATCTTGTTTTCTAACCATCTTGAAAAGATTTTTTATAAAAAAGCACATACGCAAACTTTTGCCTAAAGTTCAAAGATGAAAATGTAACCACAGTAATAAATTAGCTTTCAACTCAACAAATTTATTGCAAAATGTCAAGACCTGTTATTATAGAAGACCTGTTATTATAGTGTGTATATATATATATATATATATATATATATATATATATATATATATATATATATATATATATATATATATCGTTATCGCAATAATTTAGATTTTCCTATATTTATGAACGGTAATGTACTTGATGAGTCATCTACCCTTCATCTTCTAGAATTAACTCTTACTTCTGATCTTTCTTGGAAACCATATATTAAATCCGTTGCAAAATTAGCATCTGCTAAAGTTACATTTCTTTATCGAGCTTGACACTTTCTTACTCTGGATTCTATTCTCTATCTCTATAAATCTCAAATCCGACTTTGCATGGAATACTGTTGCCATATCTGGGACGGATCTTCTAATAATGCCCTTTCTCTTTTAGACAAGGTGCAAAAACGCATTGTAAACATAGTTAGACCTGCTCTTGCAGCCAACCTTCAATTTTTATCACATCGCCGTAATGTTGCTTCTCTTTCTTTTTTCTACAAATACTAAAATGGGCACTGCTCTAAAGAGCTAGCATCTCTTGTGCCATCTACTAAAATTCACTCTCATGTTACTTGCTATTCAATCAAGTCTCATCCTTTTTCTGTTACTGTTCCTAAGTGCTCCAAAAACTCATCTAGTTTTTTTCCTCGGACATCAGTTCTTTGAAATTCGCTTCCTTCATCTTGTTTTCCTAAATCATATAACTTTCAGTTTTAAGTCGTCTGTCAATCGTTATCTTGCTCTACAATCTTAATCTTTTCTCTTTCAGTAACTTCTAACACGAATTAGTGGTTGCTTGCATCCTTGTTGGAAGCGAAGATGTTTAAAATACATATACATATCTATCTTATAGCCTGCTGCTACAAAATGATTTAGATATTATTTTACCTGCTGTTATAGGGTTTATAAAAATTAAGAAAATCTGAAATTTGGAACCTCTGACCCCTTATGGTTCTTGAGATATTCAGGATCTACTTTTCTTATTTATGCTGACAGCATTTTTTACAATACTTTTTTGTTGCTAAATAGCAATATTTTATGAACCAAATGAGGTATCATCCTGAAATTTTGTACATAGACAATCTTCCACATGGCAGAATTTAACAAATTTCAAATTCATAAATTCATGTAAATTAGATAATAAAGGCATATATTTGGGGTATTTCGATGGTCAAAATGATAATTTTTTGATAATTTTTTATGAGGAAATGTTATAACTTAAAATATATGTATCAAATATCACTATTAATAAAAAATATATTACCACATTTTTTTATTTTTTCTAAATGCAGTCTTTTAAGTAAAGCTTGTATATACGCTGAGTCAGCTAATGCTAATTTATTATGACAAAGTTAACTCAATCTTAATTTTGTGTTGTAAGAAGATATTGTTAAAGCTTTTTACCAACCCCCCTTCCTTTTTTTCTTTTTTTTAATTTTTTGTTTTGTTAAAAACATTAAGACAAGTGACTAGGAGAAATTTGCAATCAAATTGTGCCAATTACATATACTCACATGAAATTGTATTCTAACTAAATTTGAAAAAATAACATACAAATATAAAAATAATAATGCATTAGAAATTTTTCTATAAATCTTTTTTTTTTTTTTCTATAATTTTTTCTAATTCAGTTTCTGAAACTTTATATATGCGACCATTTGTTGTAAATGGCGGATCAATGGTACATAAAACACGATTTGATGAGACCCAACACATATCTTCCTGTGCGGGCCAAAAAACTTGGGCTGGGACCATGTGGATGCATAAATTAAATTTTATAACCTCCTTCTCTTTTATCTTTTTTGGTTATAATTCCAATCCACCAAAAATTGTCGTAATTGCAAGCTATATAATCCATATGATTATAAATAACCTGCTGCACAAGTTCATTTCTGCACAAGGTTAAAAGTCTGAACCTCAGTTTGTTGACTCCTTTCAAAAGAAACTGTACATTTAATAATTGTTATAAAATGGTGGCAGCATCTTGTTCCTGGCAAGGTTCTTCCCATAGTAAATCTTGATTGTAATGATGATCAAACTTTATTTCTGTTATATAAATCAAAATGAATTGAATGTTTTTTATATTGTTTACACAAAATTCAAATATCTTATCAACATCTAAAATCTGTCTAGTCTTTTTGAAACTGGCTTGTGCAGTTAGTCTTTTTACTGTATCCCCAATACCATCACAAGCAGATTTACCTTAACTTGTGGCAAAAAAAAAACATTCAGCATCAATATCAAAGTCTTCTTTGTGATGGCAAAGATTAATAGAGTTCCTGAAGTTTTTATATTGTGCTGCACATCCATCATTAAAGTATTTAATATTACTAATTTGTAGAATGTTTGCTTTAATGTAATTGATAATGAGCTGTTGTATTTTATATACAAAGTATAGATCATGCTCAACGTCATCAGGAAGAAAACAAAATGATTTAGATATTAGTTTACCATTTGATTTGTAGTATATAATAATAGGATGAAGTGTACATTTTGGTTTATTCCAGTGGTAACATTGTACCTCATCCTGAACAATAAATTGGAAGTTTTCTGCAAAGTCACCCAATATTATACACTCATTGTGATTTAAAAACTCTTTACAGTCCACAGTGGTCGGAAACATCACTTTTCTTGGCCAAAAGTCAAAATTTTTACACTCACGAAATATGTTTTTGTTTTTTAAATCTAGTAGTCTACACTCCAAAACGACCAAAAATTAATTTTGTTGTTGTAATATGCAATTCACCGTTATTCTGTGAGTCATCGAAGTTGAATTTGTTTGCTTCATTTGTAAACAGAATTGCGATCAGTGTTTTATAGTGCTTACTTCAATTGCTTGTTAAAGCTGAAAACAAAGTGTGTTAAATAAAA